CACGGCAACTTTAATTAAGTTGGTGATGTAGGTGGCTATTTGAATGGATTCTATAGCTTTGGGGGAAGTCTTAGTTAAGATTTTTGTTCTAATTTATCCGACTCTTATTTTAAGAGTCGATTTGTGGATGTACTGCTCTCGAGTCATAACATTTTTGCAAGTGTATAGAGACTTCGGACATAAAGAAGGGATAAGTGTTGGTGATGTGTACAATAATCTTTTTGTTTTTTGTTTAAAAAAAAAAAAGAATTAGCAAGTAGTTTCGTCACAGCAGTCTATTTATTTGGAGTTGGAAAGACTCATCGAGACATTTCAGCGTTCTCCTAACTACCACAGTGTGATTCACTAGCACCAATGAAACGAACTCAAGATGTGTCGTGTAGGATACGGACCTGGAATTCGTCCTCAACCACTAGACTACCACGTGGTAGTTGTGATGTGTCCAATGATTGTTATCCACTAATTTTCAATGTTTTCATATGCCAATTTGCTTTTGTCCAACCCCAAATCTTATACACCACTACTATCATGCCTAGTTTTTTTTCGGCCATATATGTTGAAAATGATTGACATTTCAAACCCGGTATGCACAAGTTTTATTCAAACTCGAGTTTCAAATAGGTGAAAATCGACCAAAGAAAGGAAAGCCTTAATGGTGTATTTCGATGAAGGTTAACCAAACAGAAATGATATTCACACACTCATGTATGCTTTTAACTTTCAAATTAAATAAAACAAAAGAGAATTAACGGACGAAAATAAATGGAGGTGGGTATAATTTCCCTTACCAAAGGGTCAAATGGACTTGGAGATATGGTCCATCCTTTGTTGGCCCGTCTTGGTTATAGGGCCTCAAATTCATATGTGCCCTTTACTTTGATTGATGGATAGGATAGGCTGTGGATATAACCAACAAAAACCAAGAAAAAGAAAGCAGGAGGAAGATAGTGGATAGGGAAACATGGCAAGGTTGGTGGTGGTGCAGCAGCAGAGACACCCTTCTCTCTCACCTCTCCCCTCTTCTCTCTCTCAGTTCAATGGCACCAGACTCCACACTCCTCAACTCCAGGTTCTGCTTTCTGCAATTTTTGTTCTACTTTTTGTTCCAAGTTTCACAATGTTGGGAACCTCAATGGAACTGACTTTCATTGTACCTCTACTAGCTTCTGTTGATTTTCCTAGAGCATAGAGTAGAATTGCAGATGTAGATAAGGCCAGTTGGCGGGAGGAGTGTTCCGCCTCGTTGCACCCGAGTTAAAGTTCCCCTCCCTGTAAATTAGAGTAGTTTAGAATATCGCTTTGTCGAAAAAAACATCAAAGTAGAACTAATATGTCATTTCCATAATGTTAAGATTGATGATGATATACCATATGTAGATGGTGAATTTCATGGAACTCCTTCACTTGCAGTCGTAAGTTAGGCTAGTTGGCTAGGATACTTTGCCTTCCCCCTTGCACCCGAACTTGAGTCCCCGTTTATGTAAATCAGAGAAGTTTAGAATATCGTCTCGTAAAACAGTATACTAGCTTTGATCGTTTCCTTCTCTGAGCTTGGACACTAAGTGATGTGGCTTTGTTTTTAACATCAGTACATCATCAATCAATTACAGTACAGGAGTAAGGTTTCACAGCCAAAAGGAACATTACATGTTGCAGCATCAAATGCAAAGGAAATTTGTAAAATGGATGGCAGACTGAAGACATCGATTTCCGAGCACTTTCGAGGCGAATCAGACAGGGATTCTGTTGAGATTTCTTCAAAGGTATGCTAGGAGTCACACATTTGTAAATTTGACATGAAATTTCCAAAAACTTCCACAATGGTTGTGTTCTTACTACATATTTTTAATATATAATCAGACTAAAGATTTTGCAGTTCCTAGGAGGAATGCAATGGCCTTAATCTTGTCAGCTTACATCTTCGCCGGAGACAGTTTTCGGAGTGCTGCATTTGCTCAGCAGTCTCTTGTAGGGTTAAGAGAATACATAGATACTTTTGATGGATATTCGTTCAAGTACCCTAAGAACTGGATCCAAGTGAAAGGCGCCGGAGCAGACATATTCTTCAGAGACCCTTACATTCTCGATGAAAATATCTCCGTCGAGTTTTCATCCCCATCATCTTCCAACTACAAGAGCATCAAAGATCTTGGTCCGCCTCAACTAGCTGGAAAGAAAGTGCTTAAGCAGTACCTGACGGAGTTCATGTCTACCAGACTTGGCGTGAGGCGTGAATCGAAAATCCTTTCCACTTCTTCAAGAGTTGCTGATGATGGGAAGCTTTATTATCAAATTGAGGTCAGTTCCATGCATCTTTAGAAGCTTTATTACCATTAAGAAAGTGTGTTTTGACATGGGTTTTCTAGGTGAACATAAAATCATACGCAAACAACAACGAGCTGGCTGTTATGCCGAAGGATCGATTAGTTCGTTTGGAATGGGACAGGCGGTACCTTTCGGTTCTAGGAGTCGAAAACAACCAGTTATACGAGTTGAGATTACAGACACCGGAAAATGTGTTCGTGGAAGAAGAAAGTGATCTTCGCCGGGTTATGGAGTCCTTCAGAGTGAACACGATTGCTGTTTAGGTACCGTAAGATTGTACAAAATTTTGCATCCAAGGTTCTTATTCCTTTGCTTCAAATGCCAATTGGAGTCTAGTTCTGTAAAACACTCTAATTTTCATTTCTTCAGTAACAGAAAAACCGTTACAAATTCATTTCAGCTAAATCGAAGGCACTCTCAAGACCGAGATGCTATGTTACAAAAACAAATTTACAAATTACAAACTGCAGCACACGATTAATCGCATTCGGAGCAATTTTCACAAATAGGGATTCATATCGGTGCATTATGACCTGACTTCAAATTCCCCTGCTCGAGTGAGAGCTCGAAAACCCTTATAAGGTGGTTTTGGTAGATTCTTCAAATTCAGTTTATCTATTTGCAAGCCAGAGAGAGCAACACCCATGATCCTAAAACCCACTTGAAATGTCGGAAAAACATGAAGGCGCTCTAATCCTGTTTCAAGCACTAATGTCCCTGACATTGCAGGGGCTTTGTCCTTAGGAATCTTCCCTATCGTCCATGAACATGTCTACAAAAAACACGAAGAGTTCGCTATATTAAACCCAAACTCCGACCAGGAGAACTACACATTCTGATCCTTTAAAAACTGCAGAAATTGCAACCAGAACAGTGAAGAATAATTGGGAAAAAAAAAAAAAATACATGAACTACCATTTCATCTACGTACGTATCACAATTGATTATGGAAATTCAAGGCTAGTCATCATTGCCAAGGGTACAAGTGATACGGAAATCCTATGTTCGTACCTTGTTAGCAAGAATGTTCACGGTTCCATAATTTGAATTCAGATGAGCTGATAAAACGCAGGGAGGAAGTTGAAATTGTACAGTTATTGAATCAATCGTCTTTCCAGGATCATTTCGTATTCCAACCAACACACTAACACGACATGTCCCGGCATCTGAGGTTAGCTGGGGCTTTACATAGATTGGAGAGCTCTTCAACTTTCTAACCCTGCATAAAAGAAGCATACAGTTTTTAGAAAATAAAACAAGGACGGAGATACCAAAATACTGCACATAAGTAAGCTTTGAATTTCCCTCAATTTAAGAACTTAGTGTCCCTTTTACACCACTGACCTGTAACTCATCAACTTAAACTTTCTGTCAGGGGGCACAAACGACAGAACTTGATGGGCTTCCCATGGGCGAAATCGAACACATGGATGAAATCTTACATCATCAAGAATAGCAGGGTTTGCAAATGAAATAGTCAAATCAGGGACACCAGAGAGTTGGGAGTTTACTTGAACTTCACCATATATCTCACATTTCACCAGGACCCCATCCCTGAGCAGCAAGCAGAAATCTTTAAGCACAAAACATTAAGATACAATTCATCCAATTATAACTACAAAATCTGCAAATTTAGTAGAGTAATCATCACCATCCATAACTGATAACGTCTTATAAATTTTAGAGCGGTTAAAGGTAAACACCAATTGACTTGTATAACGCGGTTAAAGACAGATGGAGAGGTTATTTTCATAATCTTTTCAATGAAGGACATGAAATGAGTGCTTCTTTAGGGGAGTTGAGTAACTCAGAAGAGTGTAGAAACTACTCTTTTTATCGTCGAATCCGGAAGGAAGAAGTGGTTGTAGCTTTGAAGAAGATGAAGCATAAAAAAGCAATAGGCCCAGACGATATACCAATCGAAGTGTGGAAACTTTTGGGAGAGACAGGTATAACATGGCTCACTGACCTTTTCAATAGGATTTTGGAAAACGAAGAAGATGCCAAATGAGTGGCGAACGAGCACTTTGGTGCCTATCTACAAGAATAAGGGCGACGTACAAAATTGCATGAACTATAGGGGTATTAAGCTAATGAGTCATACAATGAAGCTCTGGGAGAGAGTCATTGAGCATAGATTGAGGCAAGAGACACGGGTTTCGGACAACCAATTCGGGTTCATGCCAGGGCGCTCAACCATGGAGGCAATCTATCTCTTACGAAGATTGATGGAAAGATATAGAGATGGGAAAAAGGATTTACACATGGTCTTTATAGATTTGGAAAAAGCGTATGATAGGGTCCCAAGAGACATTCTTTGGAGGATTTTAGAGAAGAAAGGAGTACGAGTAGCATATATCCAAGCTATAAAGGATATGTATGAAGGAGCAAAGACTGCCGTAAGAACTCATGAAGGACAAACCGAAAGCTTTCCCATAACTGTAGGATTACATCAAGGCTCATCCTTAAGTCCTTACCTTTTTGCGTTGGTAATGGATGAGTTAACAGGACATATTCAAGATGATATTCCTTGGTGTATGCTTTTCGCAGACGATATAGTGTTGATAGATGAAACTCAGGAAGGGGTAAATGCAAAGCTTAACCTTTGGAGAGAAGTGTTGGAATCTAAAGATCTTCGCCTAAGCCGATCAAAGACAGAATATATGGAGTGCAAGTTTAGTGCAAATGGAGGCCAAAACGAGTTAGGGGTGAGGATCGGAGATCAAGAAATACCAAAGAGCGACCGTTTTCGTTACCTAGGATCTATCTTGCAAAAGAACGGAGAATTAGATGGAGATCTCAACCATAGAATACAAGCTGGATGGATGAAGTGGAAGAGTGCATCCGGCGTGTTGTGAGACCGCCGTATGCCACTGAAGCTCAAGGGAAAATTTTATAAGACGGCAATAAGGCCGGCGATGCTGTATGGCACAGAATGTTGGGCGGTGAAACATCAACACGTACACAAAATGGGTGTAGCGGAGATGAGGATGCTTCGTTGGATGTGTGGGCACACGAGAAAGGATAAGATTAGGAATGAGGATATCCGGGGTAAAGTAGGAGTAGCCGAAATTGAAGGAAAGATGAGAGAAAATCGGTTACGGTGGTTTGGACATGTGCAAAGAAGGCTTACTGACGCTCCGATTAGAAGATGCGACTATGGGACAGAGGTTCAGGGCCGCAGGGGTAGAGGAAGACCTAGGAAAACTTTGGAAGAGACTCTAAGAAAAGACTTAGAGTACTTGGATCTAACGAAGGACATGACACATGATCGAGCACAATGGCGTTCTAAGATTCATATAGCTGATCCCACTCAGTGACTTGGATTTTCCAAGTCTCCAACCGAGAAGTTTTCCTCACTCGGGAAATTAAGGGAACACTACCCCAACCTACATGCTCCACTCAGAAAGCTTCAACATACAAGCTTCAACAAAAGAAAATTCAAAGAACTTAGCGAAGAAGGCTTTGGTGTATTTAACACAATACGTTGAAATAAAGGAAAGCTTATTTATTGATATCCCCGATAAGCTACAAATATGTACATATACATGAGTCAAAATAAACACACAAGAGGGAGCCTTCACAAAGGTTGCTTAGGAGAAGTCTCAGCAGTCGGTAGAGCCCCAGAAAGAGAAGGCACCGGAGGGGGATCATTTGGAGCCTCAGTACTGGACAGAACCCTAGAAGGAGGAGGCATCAGAGGTTGATCATTTGGAGCTTCATTACGCGGTACAGCCCCAGAAGACGAAGGCAATAAATGCCTTTGGAACAAACCCACAAATCTCTGATGATCAAATAAAACCTGACCATCAGTTTCCTTCATCTGGTCAAGCTTCCTCTTCATGTTTGTAGCATAGTCATGTGCGAGCCGGTGCAACTGTTTATTCTCATGCTTGAGCCCTCTAATCTCCTGTTTGAGACTCATCACTTCAGCCGCCAATGATTCAACTTGGCGGGTTCGAGCAAATAGGCGTTGGGCCATATTAGACACAGAACCTGCACACTGAACACTGAGAGCCAGCGAATCCTTAACAGCTAACTCATCAGACCGTTTGGAAAGTAGTCTGTTATCTTTGGGAGTGAGAAGGTTCCTGGCCACCACCGCAGCGGTCATATCATTCTTCATCACGGAATCCCCAACGGTAAGAGGACCAGTAGGGGAGACGAAGGATGGGCGCCATATGTTGTCTGGAGAAGGCGGGGCTGCCTCTTCAACAAGGTTCAAGTCAAAACGACGGTCGGAGGGGCCAGACATTTTCAAAGGTGTTGAAGAGAGAAGAGGTCGGACAAATCAAGATCTTAGAAGTGCAAGAATGAAACTTCTACTGGTGGAGATTTAAGTGTGCTTTGGAACTTAATGTCAGCCCCTATAAAAATCTGCACTCGACGGAGCTTCAGAAATCGAAGAGGCGCCTGCTCAGAAATCGAAGAGGCGCCTGCTCAGAAATCGAAGAGGCGTTTGCTTTCTCAAAAGCTGGGCTGCTTAGAGATCACGAGGGTTGATCTCAGAAATCGAAGAGGCGTTTGCTTTCTCAAAAGTTGGGCTGCTCAAAGACCACGAAGGCCGATCTCAGAAATCGAAGAGGCGCTCGCTTTCTCAAAAGCTGGGCTCCCCAGAGACCACGAGGGCCGATCTCAGAAATCGAAGAGGCACCTACTTTTCCAGCCTTGTCAGCACCTGTCACACGCACACTCAGCTTTGCGGAAATTATGGGCATTCTGTCGAAGACTTCTGGGGAAGTAGAAAACACATGATGATCTTACTGTTCAATCACCCACTTCCCACACGCAACAATAGCTCATGGGTACCACAGATAACTTTGCCAAAGTTCTTTGCCAAAGTTGAGCACGTGAAGCTTGCAGCTCCCACTACATCGCTCTGACCAAGAAGGGTAAAAGAATAGCAAAGAAACAGCACTAACAAAGTTTAGACCCATAAATTTTGAAGGTCTAGCTACCATATTATTACCCACAAGGGTAAAGGAACAGTACCACTGCTGGATAATTGGAAAGTCCCTGTGTTTCAACCTCTGTGCTTCGTGGCAAGGTAGACTAGCAAACATGCCCAACCTTTACTCACATTCGAGAAAACACTCCCAATAAGATTGCTTGCTCCAAAATCGAAGAGGCACCGTCCTTCGAATCTCGAGAGCCAGACTCCCAACATGATTACTTTCTTAAAAATCGAAGAGAGGGTAAAGGAACAGTACCATTGCTGGATAATTGGAAAGTCCCTATGTGTCAACCTCTGTGCTTCGTGGCAAGGTAGACTAGCAAACATGCCCAACCTTTACTCACATTCGAGAAAACACTCCCAACAAGATTGCTTGCTCCAAAATCGAAGAGGCACCGCCCTCCGAATCTCGAGAGCCAGACTCCCAACATGATTACTTTCTCAAAAATCGAAGAGACTGCTCCCCGAATCTCGAGAGCCAGACCCCCAGCATGATTGCTTTCTCAAAAATCGATGAGGCATCGTTCTCCGAATCAATCGAAGAGGCGCTCGCTTTCTCAAAAGCTGGGCTGCTCAGAGACCACGAGGGCCGATCTCAGAAATCGAAGAGGCACCTACTTTTCTAGCCTTGTCAGCACCTGTCACACGCACACTCAGCTTTGCAGAAATTATGGGCATTCTGTCGAAGACTTCTGATGAAGTAGAAAGCACATGAATCTTACTGTTCAATCACCCACTTCCCACACGCAACAATAGCTCATGGGTACCACAGATAACTTTGCCAAAGTTCTCTGCCAAAGTTGAGCACGTGAAGCTTGCAGCTTCCACTACATCGCTCTGACCAAGAAAGGTAAAAGAATAGCAAAGAAACAGCACTAACAAAGTTTAGACACATAAATTTTGAAGGTTTAGCTACCATATTATTACCCACAAGGGTAAAGGAACAGTACCACTGCTAGATAATTGGAAAGTCCCTGTGTGTCAACCTCTGTGCTTCGTGGCAAGGTAGACTAGCAAACATGCCCAACCTTTACTCACATTCGAGAAAAACACTCCCAACAAGATTGCTTGCTCCAAAATCGAAGAGGCACCGTCCTTCGAATCTCGAGAGCCAGACTCCCAACATGACTACTTTCTCAAAATCGAAGAGAGGGTAAAGGAACAGTACCATTGCTGGATAATTGGAAAGTCCCTGTGTGTCAACCTTTGTGCTTCGTGGCAAGGTAGACTAGCAAACATGCCCAACCTTTACTCACATTCGAGACAACACTCCCAACAAGATTGCTTGCTCCAAAATCGAAGAGGCACCGCCCTCCGAATCTCGAGAGCCAGACTCCCAACATGATTACTTCTTCAAAAATCGAAGAGACACTGCTCTCTGAATCTCGAGAGCCAGACCCCCAGCATGATTGCTTTCTCAAAAATCGAAGAGGCATCGTTCTCCGAATCTCGAGAGCCAGATACCACAGACCACTTTTTCAAAGTGCTCTGACAGAGTTAAAACATGTGAAACTGGCAGCTCCCACTACCGTGCTATGACCAAGCAGGGTAAAGGAATAGCATTACTACTTGTTGTTAGGGAGACTCCTATATATGTCGACCTCCATCCCCAACGGACAGGCAGACCTGCAAAAATGCTCAACCCTTCATCATATCTGAGAGGGCACTCCCAACGAAGCCTTTCGAAATATTCAGCTTTCTTTCCCCCCGATAATACCTCTGCAAACAAGTTATACTAGAGCAAGAATATCTCATATCATCAGGGTTAAAAGCAAGAGTATCCCATATCATGCTTTTTCCCTGTCTTTTTTCCTTTGGCCTTGTTTTTTACCTGCAAGACAAGGAGAAAGAGAGCAATCAGTCAGCACTTGGAATCAAGCTTCCAGCCAGGAACTGACTGCCTGGAACCCCTTACCTAATTACTTACCTGGCATTGCTCTCGAGTACTTATCTTCAACATCTTATGTTTCCAGGGAAGATTCCGCATCTGCTTGAGGAACAGATAGGGCAAGTGCGAAGGATACAAGGAAGCATGTGGAGACAAGCGTAACAGCACACGTGCCGATACATCCATTACTCTGTCAAAAGCAAAAGTATCCCATATCAGCAGGGTGGAACCTACTCTAGATTTGATGGACTTGTTTTGACCCTCAAATTCTTCAGTCGGCCTTATACTCTGGAGGAAACCAGAAAACCCTCTAGCTCAGTTCAAGAATAAGCCTGTGGAAAGTTACTTCTTCAAAAGCAAAAGTATCTCATATCATCTCTTCTCATTTTTCTTCTCTTTATCCTTCATGCTGCTGCAAGATGGGGAGAAGGTGAACAATCAGTCGGAGCTCTGATTGCTTACCTTGTCTGTCACCTCTTTCAGCAGACCCCCTAGCTCGGCGACTTGGGGGACTCCTACTACATGGTTTGTATCGCGCTTGACCAAGCCTGAAACTACAAGTAAGCTTCAAGTGAAATTGATACATTACCTTGTGCATCTCCACCAGTTAAAGATACCACCCCTGGATGGAGGAAGAGTACTTCCAGAGAAGATGCCACATCTACCTATGAGACAGATAAGGCAAGTCAAGACGACACCACACTCCGATACTTAGAAGTTTCGTGATTACGAGATCATTCTCCCACAATATTTCCTAATGTCATTTGTACTAAATCATTCACTTGTACTCCCTAAAGGAGAGCTTGAACCTATGTACTGTGTAAACCCTTCACAATTAATGAGAACTCTTCTATTCCGTGGACGTAACCAATCTGGGTGAACCACGTACATCTTGTGTTTGCTTTCCTATCTCTATCCATTTATATACTTATCCACACTAATGACCGGAGCAATCTAGCGAAGATCACAAAAAGCGACCGTTTTCGCTACCTAGGATCTATCTTGCAAGAGAACGGAGAATTAGATGGAGATCTCAACCATAGAATACGAGCTGGATGGATGAAGTGTAAGAGTGCATCCGGCGTGTTGTGTGACCCGTAGGCCACTGAAGCTCAAGGGAAAATTTTATAGGATGGCAATAAGGCCAGCGATGTTGTATGGCACAGAATGTTGGGCGGTGAAGCATCAACACGTACACAAAATGGGTGTAGCGGAGATAAGGATGCTTCGTGGGATGTGTGGGCACACGAGAAAGGATAAGATTGGGAATGAGGATATCCGAGGTAAAGTAGGAGTAGCCGAAATTGTAGGAAAGATGAGAGAAAATCGGCTCCGGTGATTTGGACATGTGCAAAGAAGGCCGACTGACGCTCCGGTTCGAAGATGTGACTACGGGACAGAGGTTCAGGGCCGAAGGGGTAGAGGAAGACCTAGGAAAACTTTGGAAGAGACTCTAAGAAAAGACTTAGAGTACTTGGATCTAACGGAGGACATGACACAAAACCGAACGCAATGGCGTTCTAGGATTCATATAGCCGACCCCACTTAGTGGGAAAAGGCTTTGTTGTTGTTGTTGTTGTTGTTGTTGTTGTCCATGTTGTTGTTGAGATTTTAGTTCTACGTTACAAGTGGTTTACAAAACAATCACAGATACAAAGGCAAACAATAATCCTCACAACAGACACGCATTCTAGAAGAAACGATAATTTAGCAAAACATTCGCTTATCAAATCACAATAAGCAGCAAAAGTATAATCAAGACAATACCTCATATACAATGACAAAGTTATCTTTAATCAAGTCTTCATTCAAGCTGCCAAGATAATCCGTCAGGACATCAGCTACCCTGCACAGAAACTACAAGTCAAACGGTTAAAGTTCAATCTTGTTCAACGCATACAAAAATCAAATCATAAAATCTAACACACATTCAGCAATGATATTCACCTCGATGCCCATCAAAGGCGGCATTTCAACTTGGGTACAAGCTAAAAATGTTATCCCCTCGCGAAGAACTTGGAAAAGATAGTGCGTTGGCGAAGCAATTACCGGTTGCAGCTAATAACAAAATCACACATAGGGTGTAAGAAATGGATTGACAAGCACGCAACCAACTACATATCAACTTAAATGTATGCATAAATAAAGTGAAAAGGGAGGGAAGCATAAGTTATATACATACACAACTAAAAACTGAAAAGGAACAACAACATACAAGATAATAAGCCCAATTTGAAAGATTCATGAAAACCAGATGAAGGTAACAGATACAAATTCTTTTTATTCGGGTGATATTCTACTTTAAATTAATCTAAAGTACGGGAGGAAGATTCAAACTCGGGGTGCATAGAGAGCACGTCCGGTCTTCTCTAGCCAACGTGACTACGCCCATGCCTAAAAATATACAATTTGGCAAAAAAACATAAAAACTTTTAGTAGCTACCTTGGGAGAATCACCTTGAGAAATTGTATGCTCCCAGAACCATGTGCATATCGAACGGTCCACACGCTGCCCAGTAAGCTGTTTCTTCAGCATCACCTCACTGAAAAATCCCATAATTTAGCAACAAAAAATTGAAATTTGCTTTTACCTACTAAAATTCGTCAATTAAATTTTCAGATCAAATGGGAAAAAAATTTCAATGATTTGGTGACTTACCCAGAATCCGATAGAAGAAATATGCACTGCAACATCTCTCTCTCTGTGTAAATAAATTTCAAATACACAAAAGCAAAATCGAAAGTTCGAAGCTTTTCTTCTTCGTATTCTTCATCTTCTCAGCGTTCAGATTTTGGAGTTTTTGCAGAGCACAAAAAAGCCCAAAACCCAAAACTTGACCCAACTCAAAAGCCCAAACCCAACTCACAAATGGGCATTTGGCGCCTTAAGGCGCGAAAGTTTTGACCTTTACGGCGTCGTGTTGGGGAGGTTGAGCGTGGTGGAATGGGAGGCCGAGGAGTGACTGGAGTGTGGATATGGGCAAAACGAAAAGGAGTGGTGGTGGGTCATACCCTCTTATCCTGTGACCGAACGTTCGACTCAGCGAACGCCAAGAGAAAGTGGAAGAAGACGACGACGGCATGAAATATTTCGAGAATTTCAGAAAACCCAACACTCAGAGAGAGAGAGAGAGAGAGAGAGGAAGAAGAAGAAGATTGGATATAGAGTTGTAGAATAGAAGAGAGAAATGGCAAGGTTGGTGGCTGTGCAACCGCAGCAGAGAAACCCATCTTTCTCTCTCCTCCCTCCTTCCTCTCTCTCTGACTTCAATGGCACCAAACTCCTCCACTCCCAACTCCAGGTCCTCTCTTTCTCTCTCAAATATGCATTCTTATGATGCTTTTCTTTGATGGGTAGAATCTAAGTTTCCTTTTTGTTGAATCAATTCGACCCATTTGCCGGAAAGTTTATGTTTTTACTTGCATTTCGTTGTTTTCAACTTAGAAGTTGTCATGTGTTAATTGTTGCAGTGTAAAAGAAGGGCCTCGCAGCCAAGAGGAGGGGCATTGCAAGTTTCAGCATCGAGTGCAAAGAAGATTCTTATAATGGGAGGGACCCGATTCATCGGCGTCTTCTTGTCAAGACTCCTTGTTAAAGAGGGTCATCAGGTATCCTCCTTCTCTTTCTAAATTTCCAAGTTCTCGACTTTTTCATCATTCCCCTACTATGATTTTGCTTTCATCAGTATAAGTTGTGTAACTGTCGCACCGTGGATTTAGTAAGAACGTGTGAATTAGTAGTGTCACGTTGCAATGCGACAGTTACACTTTTTTCTTTTGATACATTGATAAGTTATGACATTGAGTTTACTTTGGCAGGTGACTCTGTTTACCAGAGGAAAAGCACCCATTACTCAGCAGTTGCCAGGAGAATCCGATGCGGATTACACAGATTTCGCTTCAAAGGTATATGATAGTGTCGTTAAGGCTTTGAAAGTCCATTATTTACTTCTAATGCTTTCTCAGATTTTCATTTTCTAGTGATCGTGTTTTGCTAGATTTTGCACTTGAAAGGAGACAGAAGGGACTATGACTTTGTGAAATCCAGTCTTTCAGCTGAAGGCTATGACGTTGTTTACGATATAAATGGTGCGCATAGTCTTTACATTTAGCCTCTGCAATTTGAATTTGCCGCACTAGAATAAAGTTCCTGTTTACTATAGCTTACTGTTCTGCTTCATAATCCGTACTTGGAAATTTTCAGGACGAGAGGCAGAAGAAGTTGTGCCGATAATTGAGGGACTACCGAAGATAGAACAGTAAGAACAGCCTACTGATGAATTTGCTTATCTTCTTAGTAAAGCAACTGAAATTATTTCTCCTTTATCAGCCTATCAGGTCATTTTCTCCTGGATATGGTTTGAGATTAGGAGTGTTCGAAGTAGAAGTAAACAAAACAATACTATCATAAGACATCTGATCTAAATACTTTAGAATATGGCAGATTTTAAAATTCGTCTTTCTGTTATAAAATCAAGTACCTTTGACTGCAGCTTGCCATTTTATTATCCCAGACGATAATAAACCTGGTTTTCGTTAAATATGTTGTGAATGAGGAAAAGCAGCTGACGTTATTCAGGTGTACAGAAGACCAATGGTAATACCGTAGTAGAGATGTGATTGTGAGTAAAAATGGAAGCAAAGAATCAATCATGACCTGGAATGATCAACTTGTATGGTGCGAGCCGATGCTTATAGTTCGTTTGAAAACATTCTAAGACTTAATCGAACACTAACATGGTAGACCTAATGTTTGATGCAAAAATGAATTAAAATTGCACTTATTTCCAATTTTCCACATTATATAGTGGAAATTTTTGGAAGGTCTAAGAATTCCGCTGAATTCTCAGGTACATATACTGCTCTTCAGCCGGTGTCTATCTCAAATCTGATCAGCTACCTCACTTTGAGGTATGTTTGATGTTACAAATGGCTTACTTTTCATTCTTTTGGTCCTACTCTTGTACTGTGATTCAAATCACTCTTGTCATGGCATTGTGGAAATTCGAGCTTAACTCCTAACTTGTTTATTACCAAAAAAAAACTCCTAACTTGTTTTTCCTCTAATTACCTTTTTTATCCTTTCTATTTCATTCTACTTGTCTTTCCATAATTCTAAACTTGACGAATCCTGGTGGTAGATCGATGCAGTTGATCCAAAGAGCAGGCACAAGGGAAAGCTCGAGACAGAGAGCTTGCTCGAATCAAAGGGTGTTAACTGGACTTCAATAAGGCCAGTCTACATCTATGGACCATTGAACTATAACCCTGTTGAAGAGTGGTTCTTCCACCGGTTGAAAGCTGGCCGCCCAATCCCAGTTCCGAACTCAGGGATACAAATTACACAGCTTGGTCATGTCAAGGTTAGTGAAGTGTCAGTCATAATGTACTTATTTAGATTTCTATATTGCAGCATATAAGGGCAATTTTTTTATGTGAATTCGTTTTGCAGGACTTAGCGACTGCCTTCATTAAGGTTCTTGGTAACGAAAAGGCCAGCAAACAAGTATTCAACATCTCGGGAGACAAATATGTAACCTTTGACGGACTAGCAAAAGCATGCGCAAAGGTAATTGCTTGCTGATAAGTTCCTAGATAGACAAATATTCATAATCTTCTCAAACTAGAGTTTATCATATGTTTTCACTTTTTGTTAGGCTGCTGGTTTTCCTGAGCCTGAGATCATTCATTACAACCCCAAAGAGTTCGATTTTGGCAAGAAGAAGGCCTTTCCATTCCGTGACCAGGTAAATATGGTCTTAGAGACGTTTTAAGAATTCAACGAGAAGCTAAAGAAAACTTATGCTCTTACTTTCATGAGGCCGGAACCTGATTAACCAACTTCAATTGTGTTTCTTTTCATTTGATGCAGCATTTCTTTGCATCGATCGACAAAGCAAAGAGCGTGCTCGGATGGAAACCCGAATATGACCTGGTGGAAGGTCTTGCGGACTCGTACAACCTAGACTTTGGGAGAGGAACATTCAGGAAAGCAGCTGATTTCTCAACAGATGACATCATTCTTGGCAAAAGTCTTGTCCTCAGCTAAATCTCCAGACTCTCTTTGCTCCCTTTGATTTGTATCCTCCATTTTTATTAATTATTTCAGGATCAAGAGGAAATCAAATTAATTTTTTCTGTGATGTTGCTGTTTCATATTCAAATGTATTTAATTAGAAGATAAATGAATATATTTCGTTGGTATTTTAGTCCAGTGTCCAAAAACATGTTATTTGAAAATTAAACTCTGCGACTAATCTTACGTTTAATCTGTTCCAATTGGGGTAAGGACATTAATATATTTCTCTGTGCAAAAGAAATTCAACAATCAAAGATGAACAAGTTCAAGCAAATCAAACAGTCAGATTCAACAACGATATTGAAACAAAAGTAAAGGCTGCAAGAAGAAACAAACTTACATGTCACTGCTATATGTTTCCTTCTCTCTAATCTCGAATCCTCAATCTCTTTCTTCACTAGAACAAAAATGAAAATGCCAAGATTCTTCCACACTCAGCCCACATATTCTTTCTGTGCAACATGCAAATATGGGCAGTCTTGTAGAAATATATTGGGCTATTTTGGGTGTGAAAGTATTTTCAATTTTGAGCCCACCTAAGTCCCTAAACCACAATCCAACGATCGACTTGATTGCCAAAGCCTTTTTTTATTTTGTATTTTAGACTTTGGTCAGTCACCCACAAAAAAAAAAAAAAAAAACGAATCCTGAACCTATCATGCTCTGAACTTCAATTTTTTGATGCATTGCTGATGTGAAAAGAGTGTAATATGCTTGATGTTGACTTTTTTGATGTATCATGTCTTGGTCTAGTCAATACATGCAACATTGTCTTCATACATAGTCAGTGAAACACAATGATGGATGAGAAACAGCAGGTACTTCGCATATGCTAAGAAGAGCCCTGAACCATACTTCCTATGTGTGGCGTAGTGAGGTGTGATGAGCTTTGGAACTATTTGAAGATTTTGCAACTAAGGTCTATTTCGAGGAATGCAATATCCCTAATGGTAAAGATATAACTATTTGGAAATGTGCCTTGTGCAAGTTTGATAAGTAACATTCGTCAACATAACAAACAAGACATGCATCATTCAGAGGATTAGGGGGTTGGATCCGCTCGTGATGCGTATGGATAAGCTTAAATCTGTAGAACCTTTAGGGTAGCGAAAATACGTCATTAATGCCAATTCAATGGTTGCGTGTAAGCACAGTGTTGTATCTTCTCAAAAGATCAACAGTGAATGAGATATCATGTCCAATACAATAAGTTAAGTAAAACAAAGCTTAAAGTTGAACTTAGATATGACACTGCTGAAGGTAGCGGTTCGTAGTGTCATGACTCACAGAATTCCAATGAGATTCATCATACAGGGCGGGTTTTGCGGTAAGGGTCCAAAATTCCAATGAGATTCAACCAGAATCTCATGAAACGGTTATAAATTTGAATGGAAACTCACTCGTGGGTCGTCAGAGTTGAGTATCACCTCAGGAATGATGTCCACATATATAGGAGGTGTGTGGTGTTCCGGAATCGACGACGTAGCCGTCGGAGGTACTACAGCCTACTGCTGCTCGAGATTTGCCAAGCCAGAGAGGCGTCAGCCTTGATCTGGGGAAGAAGACAAATCGTAAACGACATGTCGTTAGTAGAAAAGGCATGGTTTGGACATGGCTTGGCACATGGATGGCTGGTGGGGATCGAACAACTACAAACTGTGACTCGCGCGGCTCGGTTCAGCACGGCTTCAGACTGCGGCTCGGACGCTATTTAGAGTTTTTTTTTTTTTATTGTTTTCTTTTCTTATTCACACAATTGCGATTCATCACAATTATATCAATGGTAATATAATATAATTGCGAACAATAATTTAAGTATAATATTAAT